GCTTTTCTGTTTGCTGCTAATTCATAATACGCCTGACATATTTGTGGGCAGTAGGTGGCCCCCCTTCAAAATTTCTTTAGAATGTTTTCAAGAAACTTGGGAGACATTATATTAAGACTCTTCTAGTGCACACATTAAATACATTTTTTGATATTATGTATGGTTTGGCTGTGCTGCTTTTAATATGAGTTTGTTTCTGCCATTTTACTGCCAAATGATTCTACCCTACAAAATCTTCAGATGATTCAATTGTTTTCTGCAGTTTGAAGTTTCTGATGACTTCCTATCACATTTTCATATGTTATGCAGTTAATTTCAGCTTTTTTCATTCAGCAAAAAAAGCATTCCCACTTTGCTGTTTCTCCGAAACAGCTTTTTCTAGTTCAGTCAGTGTTTGAAACAGGCTGCAGAATTTTTTTTATTTAGCAGATTACTAAGAAAATATTTTATCCTTCATGTAATGGAAAGATCCTTTCGATAAAATGCGCACAATGTGCATTTTTCTAAGATGCACATTGTGTGATTACTTCTACTGTCACCTTTTTCTGCTGTAAAAACACAATTTTCCCCATTGTGGGACAATAAAGGGATTTCTGTTCTTTTATATAAAAGAAAATAATCTTTTTTTTTTTTTAGATAAATGATCACTAATCAATTAATCGATTTTTATTGACTTAATTTTTTCAACTATATAAAGGATATTTAATGTGGCGTTAAGTTTATACTAATGAATGTGTGTATATATGTTGTTCTTTTTCCTTTTCTACATATTGTTTAATCTTTCGCTTTTAATTGTGGAAATCGTCTGAAATAAACTCATTAAATTAATCATTTGTTATTTAATCAATACAATCAATCAACTTTAGATCAATTCAATAATCAATAAATAGCATTACTTCACCTTTATCATTTTAGTTTTGGGTCTGATTTCTAAAAAATCAAAGTTGTTGATTTTCCACCCTTAAGCTATGTGGAGTATTTTTGTCACCATGCAGGTAAAGCTTTTAGCTGAGGCATGTAAAAGCTCCAGCAGGCTGGTGAAAAGTATTTCAAGCACCCTCATGTAAATCCTGGCCTATATTTGTCATTAGGATAAAAATCCAAAGGTAATTGTTGCTGGAATGAACTGAGATTAGAAACAAACCAGCTGGTTCCTCTGGTTTGGTTTCCATTAAATAAAACAGCATCATCCAAAGACGGTTTAGATCTGTTGGAAATTAGAAACTGGATAAATATCCCAGCACCTTTCTATAAATACCACTGCTAATTTTACATTCATGTTTCGCACATTAGAACTACGGAGGCTGAGAGTGTGTCCCTCCAATACTTTTTCAATTTGGTTTTCTCAAGAAAACAAGTTAATTTTCTCATTATTTTAAGATAAACAAAGCAGCTTTCTCTTCATATTGAGACGGTTGTTGTGGGTTAAACTGATTACATTATTCAATACCAAAACAGAGGGAGAGGATTTATAATTATAGTAATTCTTTAAATAATCCTGTGTTAAACTTTTCGGTAACAAGACAATGTTGTTGGTTTGATGATTTGCTTCCACTTCTGATACATAAAGACTTAGCTCTATGCCTCCAGGTGTTTTCTGAACAGCCCTGGTGTTACGCCTTTAACAGGTAAAAGATGCATAAACCCCCAAAATTAGTCCATATTGAAGATTTTCATTAAAAAAGTCAGATTTTTTCTACTGTATTCCATGCAATCCAATCATTCAGCACAGCATGATAATGAGTGAAAAGAAAAAGGAAACAGAAAATCAGATTATTTGCGCACACGTAGCACCGCAACTGCAAGACTACAGGCACCGCAGGCATGGATGGACTGGGAATCCAGGGCTGTTGGCCAGCATCTTTCATTACTCATACAGGTTAATCATCTCATTATCTCAAGGAATCAATAAATGTTTTTCTCGGGATGACGAGAAAACAAATAATGGTTTAACCATGATAACGAGATAGTTATGTCATTATCTCGAGAGGGCAAACGGAAAAAAAAAGTGGAGTAAGACTGCTCTCGGCTTCCGTATTAAACAGATCTACAGCCGCTTTTTGTTTTTGTCTTGGAACAATGTTCTGCTAAGTTCGCCTTTAACAAGCAGTGTCAAACTATAGCTGTTTTGCAGAATAAATAAATCTGTAACAAGGTGGACTTAAATGTGCAAAATGTGACACATTTTTCATGCTATGCTAAGGTTCATGTTTCAAATGGTAGATAATGGTATTTAGACCATGAGGTCTAAATAAGATGTTCAAGTTTTGAATTTCCACGTTTCTTTGGGATCTTGTGTCCAACCAACATAGTAAAGCATCCATCAGCTGGAAGGAAAAGGATGAAAATTGTCCAAACTTGTTGCATGGAGGCTAGAAGTATGGAGGACCAGGAGAGTTACTGGCATTTCTTAACTGCAAAGTGTAATTTAAAACATCAAAGAGGAACATTTATTTTTTATTGTTCTATTATTACTGCAATGGAAAAATTTATTTTCAACTCCTATTTCTAAATTGAAAATTAAAAACCTTAATTAATAAATATAATTCCACATGAAACATTTAAAAAGATTTTTCCTTTTCTCATCATTTTTTTACCTTGAAAATTCAGAAAATAATTTTTGAAGTTGCATTTTTTTTCTCAATTTAACCTCTTTCCATGACCTCTGGTCGCTGAGCAGAATGGAAACCGAGTCAAACTGAGTTTCTCTTCGGATGTAACCAGGTTAGAAATCAGGGTAAGGGTTTGCTGTGCCTGCACACTTTGTAACCAAAGCAACTGGAGGAATAACAGTTCAGTCTCATCTAGGAGAGAAACTTTCTCCTAATTGCTTGAAAAATGCTTTAGTCCAGGGGTCTTCAATGTTTTCCAGGCCAAGGACCCCAAAACTGATGCTGATGGCGAACTGATGGAGCGGGGACCCCCTAATTATATATATTGTATGAAATTGTATTCTATCAACCTGGTCCTATAGTCACTATATTACAGATGGAATAATGTAACAAAAGTATTTTGGGATCATTAAAGTGTTTCTGATTCTGATTCCTGGTTGATGGGACAGGTGTTGTGAATGAAACGGTGTCCAGCTTGAAAGAGCTCCTGTGTGTCGCTGAATATGAGCATTGATGACTGAAAGACATCTTCTGCCTCCATTTATCTGTTTACTACAGTGTGTTGAATTCATGTTAATGTGGATTTAAAGACATTTCAATTAGTGGAAAAAATTGCAGGGGGGAATATAAAAAAAGGTCTAATCAACCAAAACTTTTGCGACCCCCATGCAGTACCTCTGTGGACCCTTTAGGCGTCGCAGACCCCCTTTTGAGTTTAGAGTTTAAACTTCCCTGCAGAAGTCTCCTTAAAGCTCTCGCATCATCTGCACCTGCATTATTGAGCTAGCTGGATAAATTGATCCCTGTGCTGCTCCACATGGTGCTTGCTGCTTCGCTCTCCATGTCGGAGCTTGATCTATGATTTAAACCAGGATGAGTTTTCAAAGCATTAGCAGAACAATTTTGGCAGCTGTCCTCTTTCTGTAGCCATTTTGTTCTTGTTGTTATCTAACCAATGAGAGAGCTGGTTTCATCCAGAGCAACTCTGATTGGTTAACTTGGTTTCCAGTGTTTTCACACAGAAGCTAAACTAAGAGGATAAATGAAAAAGAACATTGAAGGAAAAAAAGGAGGTGGAAACAGGATTTACCTTTTTAAATGTTTGATAAAGAAAAAAAATCTATAATCAGTGGTTTTTAAATCTCCTTTTAGAAATAGAATCTAACATTCTCGCTATTCTTTTACTGCAATGTTTAATAATGAATTAATAAAAACTATTTAAAATTCCCCTTTAAACTTTCAATTTAAAATTTGCAATTACAGAAACTCCTCAGATTGTATTTAAAATGTTTGCATTTCTATTTCAGTGGCTCTCCTGGTCTTCCATATGTTTATTTTTGAATGTCTTATAAAAGTTTTCTAAAATACACAAGAACAAGTTTAGGAGCATAAAACACTATTGGATCCAGAAGATGTTCAGAGGTCAAGACTTTTCTAAACCACTTCATGCTTTTTCCTCGCGCAAACATGCACACTTTTACACTCAACCTGCAGTAATCACATTCTGAGAAAAGTCTGCAAACTCAGATGTTCTGCAGGAATGTTGTGTGAAGCTCCACTATGAAGCACTGTGCATCTCTGTGAAGCTATTGCTGTATTTTATATCTTCTGTTGACTTCTGACTTTTGCATCACATCTTGACCAAGAAAAAGTTTTGATTGAGCTTTTATTTCTCCAGGAACAGCTCGGGGTCCTCTTATTGTCTTGGGTTTGTTGGAGAGCAGCTTTAGGATGCTATAAATAGAGGCGTGAACATGCAGGATGACTAGAAGACTGAAACTGTGCAGTGACATGCCACAGTGACTCAGCATCAGAGCAGGAGCTCCTAATGACTGTGTAATCAATGCCTCATCCCATCACACACAAACACGCAGATTAGATGTTAGAGGTAGAAGGAAGTCAGCATGCAGCCGCTCTGCACCTCCCTTCTGCTCCCACAGCTTTAAGCGTGAAGACAACGCCATGGTTGCTCCAAGGAGGAAGGAGGGGTTCAGGGATGAGTGGCAGTGGTCGTGGGGAGGAGGGGTCCCAGTGATGTCAGCCAGTGGTGGTGTGTGTGTGAGACGACCTAGCATTGGAGAGAAGCTGTTAAAAAGAGGGAAGTTATGGAGCTTTTCTGTCCGAGAGGAGCCCGGCAACAAAACAAACGCACCCATCCCTGTGGCGCTGTTTGCTGCTGATCAGAATAATCTTTGTATCTGTACGAATACTTTTCCTTAAGAAAGTGTTTTCTGATTAAAGGTTATGTCTTTTTTCTTCTTAAGATAAATATATTTGCTCTTTATTGGAGCACATAAGTTACGACATAGTATTAGGGCCAGGCTAGAGATTTTATTAAATTTTTTTGATCGGCCTGTTTTCCAGTGTAGTCCTGTTTCTCTGACTGTGACTGGCTGGATGTGCTCTCTTCATCCTCTAACATGGGACCTGGCACAGAGCTCGTCTGCCTGGCTGTGTGTTTCCTGGACGGGGCCGCCTGTGGACCTGGTTGACAGTTGCCTATCTATGCTTCATTTTCTATGTCTGCTTCTGTCTCCTTGAACCCCAGTCGGCCTCACTAGATGGCCGCTCACACTGAGACTGGTTCTGCTGGAGGTTTCTTCCTGTTAAAAGGGAGTTTTTCCTCTCCACTGTCACTGCAAGCATGCTTAGTGTGAGGGATTGTATTTGAGTCAATGAGTCAATGCTATCAACTGGTTTTCCTTAGATAGAAAACTTTGAATCAATTTGACTGCATGATCTGGTTGAACTGTAAAGTGCCTTGAGATGACATGTGTTGTGAATTTGGCACTATATAAATAAACTGAATTGAATTTAATTTAATTTTTCTTCTATTTCGAGAATAAAGTTGTAATATTAAGAGAATAGAGTCCTAAAATTATGACAAACAAGTTGTAACTTATGACAACTCCTACAAGAAGCACTTTCCTCCCTAAAATGAGGAATGTGGAGCATCATGTGAAGTTATACTTTGGCATCTATTTGACAAAAGAGGAAATCTTATAGTGAACCAGCATCAAATTGGGCAGAAGGTCAAAGTGAACTGAGGTTGCTGATTGGTTGAGCTGATCGGTCGTCATCTGCTGGTCGGAGCTTGAAGCTTTCTTTCTGAAACGGGTTGTATGATGACTTCATTCTTGTAATGTTACAACTTTATTCTCATAATGGTACGACTTTATTCTGATAATATTATGACTTTATTTTTGTAATCTTACAACTTTATTCTCGTAATTATGTGACCTGATTTTCGTAATGTTTGTTTTTATTCTAAATATCGAAAAAAGAAAACTCTAGCCTGGCCCTAATATTCCATTGTGCATGAGTCGGATGATCCGCCATTAGAAGCTGTGTTTTTGGCCTTAGAATACAATAACTATATAATATACACCTAGAATAAGATGATGGAGACTTTAATATGGATTATCTTATTCTATTGACAAATTTTCTAATTATGTGAAAATACATTTATTTCAAGGAAACTGGCCTACTTGGATTTTCATTTCGTCTGTTGCCCTGGAGATCAGCTCTGAGTTAATTCTCAGAGGTGAATGATTTCATCTCATTAGGAGAAACAGATTAAGTTAAAATGAAAATAATAAGAGAATCTGAGAACGGAAACATTGAGCAGTGAAATGCAGAAGCAAGTGTATTTCTGAAAGAGACACAGTTTCTGCCAGTAAGGACATTAAGCTGAGACGTATATGAATAGAAGTTTAGAAAAAGCTCACTGTGAGATTTTATTCTCAGGAGAGGAAATTAAGAAAAATAAGAAAGATGCGTTGGTGTTGATTGGTAGTTATCTTTCCACTTTTCTTTTCAACTGCAAGATTATGAATTATACGACAGAGTATTAGGGCCAGGCTAGAGAAAAAAATTTTTATTTCGAGAATAAAGTCGTAATATTGTTAGGATTCCAGTTTGTGTGGGCTGTTTTTGTGTTTTTCTTCTCTCCACCACCAGATGGTGCCCTGTCCTCGTTGGGCCTCCTTGCACACCTGCGGTTCGTTGGGTTTTTACCAGAGGAGTATTTGAGCAGCGGGCTGTCACTACCTCGACGCCAGAGTGTTAGCCAGTATTGGGTACTCTAGCCTAACTGAGATTATAGAGTCTAACCTTAGTCTTGTCTCTCTGAGTCTAAGCTTGTTTTTGTCTTTGTTCTTCGGCAGGAAGCCTTCCTGAATCACAGGATAAGCCTGGACCTTCTATCCCTGGAAGGATTATCTGAGTCACACTGAGCAAGGGGAAACCTCCACATGATCCGTTCAAGTCCACTTTTGGAAAACCAGGTGACAGTCCGCTCTTTTACTCCTCTGGGTCCAACGTTAGTCTACCTGTTCGTTCTCCAACGAGTTCCTTCTTCTCTGGATTTAACCCCATAAACTGGATCCAAGGAATAACCAAGAGCCCCCCAAAAAGTGAGTGTCTCTCAAACATTATAGAAGCCTCTGTCTTTTTTCCCATAGTCCCTAAACTGATCATTGTGATCTCCCCTTCAGAGTTTCCGGTTCCGGTTCACCAGTCTGCTGAGGTCCAAAAATTACGAGAATAAACTCATAACATTACGAGAACAAAGAAAAAACAAAATTACGAGAATAAAGTTGTAACATTTTGAGAACAAATAAAAAAAAAAAACGAGAATAAAGTCGTAGAATTACAAGAAAAAAGTTGTAATAATATCAGAATAAAGATTTATTTCATGATAAGTCTTACAAAAAGCTCTTTCTTCCCTAAAAGGAGGAATTTTGAGCATCATGTGAAGTTAGACTTTGGCTCTGGTTTGACAAATAAGGAAATCTTTTAGCAGCAGCATTAAATTGGGCAGAAGGTCAACGTGGACTCAGGTTGCTGATTGGTGGAGCTGGTCGACCGTCACATGCTGCTCGGGGCTCGAAGGTTACTTTCTGAAACATGTCGTGGTATGATTACTTCATTCTCATTATTTTTCAACTTTATTCTCATAATATTACAATTTTATTCTCAAAATAAAGGAATAAAAGAAATCTCTACATGGCCCTAATACTCCGTGGTACGATTGACATTCATTCACAAATTAAGAAAAAAAAAAACAGTTTAAGTTGCCATGAAAGCCGTCAGCACTCTGGATTCAGAAGTTTCCTTCCTCAGGATTTAAGATTGAGACGATCGGGAGGAAAACATTCAATGTATGTCGTATGAAGTTGCTCTGCATTGATTTGCCAAATGTTTTACATCATTATCCTGCTAAGAAATACAGGCGGGGTTCAATCATTGAGCAGCTTTTCTGTTTTCATCTTTTGTTTCACACCAAACCCACCTGGAGTGTTTGCTTCCTCAAAGCTCAGATTGAGCCTCAGCTGCCAGATCCAGTTAAAGTCCCAGTAGAGTTCAGCAACGTTAACATTAGTCATTCTAAAAGTGAGATTATAACGCAGAACGGCTGCAGTTCTGCACCCAAGAAACAAAAACCTCATCATTCACTTATAAAGTCTCCTACAAACAGTGAGAAAAATAAAAAAAGTACAGCAGAAAATAAAACATGGTTTTTAATTCATTGGAATACTAATAGAATAAATCCCCTGATTTTATTAAAACATAATTGTACCAAACATTTTACCAAATAGTTTTTTTTACAGTGAATAAATGTCTAAATGTAAAAGCTTGATTATATCGATGCAATCAGAAATGGATTCAGGTTCTTTTTACACATCTTTGTTCACAGCTGTGAATCACATAATGCTCTAAGATTAGTGGAGATTTCTTGAAATAAGAGCATTTGCTCTTGATTTGAGCAGGTTAATAAAAGTATCTGCCTATAAAACTAATATTTTCTTACCTAAAATAAGATTATTGTGGCTTTTCCTCTGATTTTTGCAACAAGAAATCTGATTCCATTGTCAGATCACTTTACTTATCTACTCAAATCAAAGAACATTTTACTGAAATGTTCTCCTTTGAATTATGTTCATGTAGCAAAAGTTGATGTTGCACAAAAATCTGCCTCTATTTCTAAAAAATACAACTACAACACGAGTCGAAGCAGCAACTCTCAGGCAATGCTGAAAATGAACACCGTTCACTAAAATGACTCTAGAGCAGGGGTGTCAAACTGGTTCCAGAATGGGCCGTGTGGCTGCAGGTTTTCTTTCCAACCAAGCAATAGCACACCAGATTCCAGTCATCTCATCAAGTGAGTCCAATCTGAACATGATGACTTGATGAGATGACTGGAATCCGGTGTGCTATTGCTTGGTTGGAAAGAAAACCTGCAGCCACACGGCCCTTTCTGGAACCGGTTTGACATCCCTGCTCTAGAAGTTCCAACACTTACAGCATGGTAACAGCGTGGTAACAGCAATCAGTCATGATCTTCAAAAAAGCTAATATTATCTGAATCATCAAGAACTGAAAAAAGGAACCCAAAGGAGTCTTCCTCATTAATGACTTGTCTGTTTTAGAGGAACCTATGAGAGAAATGGATCCTAGGCGGAGGTTCAACTACAGAAACGATTACTTACCCTTATCCGCCGCCTGCACAGGCCAATCAGTTATGAACCAAACCTCCATGAAGCCCACTCAGCATCCTTAGTTCATCTTTAAAGGTCTCCAAAACCACATCTCAGTCTGCTAGCCAAAGCGCAGGCAGTGGTGTGCTCTATGTCTGACTTCATTTAGGTTCAACCCGCCTCCAGCCCCTCCTCCACCGTCATAGCTAAAGCTTCATCAGAGTTTCATCTTCTTACTGCGTTCCCTGTCTCATCTCAACCGGTCCGGTAGAAGACCGCCTGGTTCTGCCAGAGGTTTCTTCCCAAAGGGGAGTTTTTCCTCTCCACTGTCGCTTCATGCTTGCTCATCATGGACAGGTTAATGCAACCTGTGTTTTCCAAGCTGGACTTCCATCTTCCAGAACATCCCTGTTCTTTATTCACGTTTATGCATATCAAATGTAAATGTTTCCTGCCGAGGTCTGAGCGCCAAAGACTAAAGTAATTTTATCAAGAAAATTATTCTAATTGTCACACTAAAAAACTTAAATCTAGATAAGTGCATTTTTTCTTGAATTTAGGAGGTAAGTGAGACACTTTGCTGATGGAATAAGATAATTTCCACTTTAAAAAAAATAAAACAATTGATTGTCTTATTTGTTGTTGTCCAATTATCTAATTCTAAGAGTAGAAATAACTCAGTATTTAGCTGCTCAAATGAAGGATAAATACACTTAATTTAAGACATTGTTACCTTTTTCTAGATAGCTTTTGCAGTGCACCAGTGCAGAGCTTGCTCATCTTTGGTAGCGGGCGGGTAAGAACTCTTTTACTGTTATTATAATTAATAATATTATTAAACCTTTATTTAATCAGAATATTCACCATTATAGCTCCTTTTCAAGGGAACTTCAACTGAAGTTTGTAAAACTCAAACAATGCTCATATCGATGCTCTACAAGGCTGAAAAAAGAGATATTTGTTACGTTTGTTGCTGTATTTTCATCCTGATTTAATTATGAAGGCTGTTTCTGTCTGATGTTTAGGAGGATCAACCTGTGAAGGATTTTCTGTCCTTCAATAATCATCCTTTTGTAGGACAGCGATATTTAGCCGGTCGCTCTTAATCACTTTTATCAGAGGAAAGGCTATTTTTACCAGTTTTTCCTTAATATAAGAATCAATTGAGGAGGTAAGTGAGACACTTTGCCAATATAAGAAAAAAAGTGTACATCTAAAATAAAAAAAAGATATAAAAAAAACAGCTGCATTATTTCAAGTGCATCTTGTTTCAGGATACTTTCTAAAATTCGATATTAGAAAATATATTATTACAGTTCAGTGTAGGAGGGTGATTTTGACCAGGAAGACTCTTATATTAGTGATCTACTAATGGAACAACAGAATGAAGAGTGCTTTTAATAAATCTTGAAATGGCCTGCCATAGGTCAAATTCATGTTAACCAAAGCATTAACTCGAGCAACAATCTTCTCCTTCACCATCTTCCTCTCCTTTGCAGCTGTACCGCTTTTTCTCTGTCTTTAAACACATTCTCCATTTTGTTTTTCATTTCATTAAAATCTCTATTTCCAGTCGGGTGACAAAGGCACTTCCTGTTGCCTGTTGTCATGGTGACTCGTCAAATCAGGGATCCTCTGCTAATGGCTTTCCATACTCGTTACGCAGGTGTTCGGCTCTGAGTGGATCTACTTAGAGTTGATTAATTCATAGCAGCTGTTGTGAAACCGAAAACTCTGAGTTCCCGACTAGATCAAATTAGAGTTGCAGATTAGAATCTGAATTTGTTAAACCTGCATCATGAAACGGACCCCTGACCTCAACCTGATAGAACACCTTTGAGAGGAGACTGGGAACCAGGCCTTCCAGTCCAACATCAGTGTGTGACCTCACAAATACACCTCTGGAGGAATGATTAAACATTCCCAAACACGCCTAAATCAATGAGCAGCCTTAAGAAGAGTTGATGCTGTTTCAGCTGCAAAGGCTGGACCAACATCATATTGCAATGTAAAAAGACATTTCTAAAATCAAGTGTATTTACCCATAATTTTAGAAGGTAAATAACAAGATTTTGCCAATAGAATGAGTGTTTTTACTCTTAAAATAAGATGATTAGATAATATGAGACAGTGCAGTTGCTTTTTCCTACTTTAAGTGTAAATTTTCTTGTTCCATTTGCAAAGTTTATCATTTACCTCCTCAGTTCAAGACTTAATGCACTAATTTTAAGAAGAAATTACTTATTTAGATTTCGGTTTTTCCAATGTGAATGCATACAGTATGCACCGGGAAAACAATCTAGAAATAAGTAAACATTTCTTAAATTAAGAGTATTTACCCTTCATTTCAGTAGGTAAATGAGATAGTTTGCCACTGGAATGAGTATTTTTCTCTTAAAATCAGATCATTGGTTAATATGCACTTGAAATAATACAATGCAATTGCTTTTTTTTCTCATTTTAAGTGTAAATAGAAAAAAGGACTTATTTAGATTTCTATTTTTTTCAGTGTGGATTAGTAATGGGACCTTAATTAAACTCACATGTGTGTCATGGAAGGTAAGTGAATACTTTGGGTGATATAGTATCCCAACATCCACATTTAGAGGTAAATACATATATATTCAGCCTATTTTTGTATAATATTTAATTTTCTTTACTTTAAAGCCTAAACCGGCAGAAAAAAATTTGATTCTTCATAATATGAAAGATTAAAAAACTGGAATAGAAAATGTTCAATAATTATAAGTTCTCTTTTTTGCACAGGTCCTGTAATATTTGTTTTATTTTGCTGAAAATGGCTCTCTGGATCATAAACAGTGCAGATCCCTGTTCAAGTAAAAGATCTATTGATTAAGATTACCGGTAATCAAACCCATCTTAATGAATCCAAACCATCTCTTAGTCAGAAAAGAAAAGCTTAAATCTGATCCTGCACGGAACTGATAGTGAACGGATCACAAGAGGAGCTGCTTCTCATCCAGCATAGTGAAATTTGATAAACAATTTCTACAAAGAATAAAGAGGGAGATTAAGACCAATAACAACTTCTAACAATCCAAGAAGCCAGATGAGGATCTCTAGCTCCTCCAACATGTTTCACAATCATTTATCGTCATTACGATACATTTATAGTCATGATAATTCTTAATTTATTGTCTTTTTTTATTTGTTTTTCTTCTGGATATTTTCCATTATATTGGCAAATTTGAAGAATATGATCAAATGCAGTCCTATGGGATGTTTAATGATTATAAAGCATAATCTTTTATGTGTCCTGAAGTAGCCTAAATGTGGATATTTCTCTCAGGAGTAGTGATTGTGACAGTGAAGCTCTGAATGCTTTGGCAGACCTTCCCAGCCATAAAGTACATCTACCTACACTAGAAAAACGATCTAGAAATAAGTAAAAAATTTCTTAAATTAAGTGTATTTACCCTTGATTTGAGTAGGTAAATTAGATAGTTTGCCAATGGAATCAGTATTTTTACTCTTAAAATAAGATAATTACAGTAGATAGTATGCACTTGAAATAAGAGAATGCAATTGTGTGTTTTTTTTTAATCTAAATTGTCTTGTTCCATTGGCAAGATGTCTTTTTTATCTCCTCAATTCAAGAACAAATGCACTTATTTTAAGAAAAAATGACTTATCAAGATTTTGATTTTTTTGCAGTGTAAGAACCACTTCAAAGAATCAATGAAGAGTGTTTCTATCTTCAATTTTGACATTATCAATAAAGCACCACAATATTGGGAGATCATAAATTCAATAGATACTGTATGCTGTGGTGCCAGGATCAGAACCGTGATCCGTTCTCCGACAGCAGGTAGAGACACACTGCAAAAAATTTTAATCTTAATAAGTAATTTTTTCTTAAAATAAGTGCATTTTGTTTTGAATTGAGGAGGTAAGTGAGACACTTTGCTAAAGGAACAAGACAATTTACATTTAAAATAAGAAAAAACAATTCCATTGTCTTATTTCAGGTGTATATTATCTAATTATCTTATTTTAAGAGTAAAAATACTCATTTCATTGGCAGATCATCTTGTTTACCTACCAAAATTAAGGTTAAATATACTTAATTTAAGAAATTTTTACTTATTTCTACATCGTTTTCGCAGTGTAGAAACCAGTAAACTGGGATCCAACACTGGAAAAAAAATCTAAATCAAGTCATTTTTTCCTAAAATAAGTGAATTTGCTCTTAGATTGAGGAGGTTAAAGAAACATTTTGCCAATGGAACAAGACAATATACACTTAAAATAAGAAAACACAATTGCACACAATTGTCTTATTTTAAGTGCATATTATGTAATTATCTTATTTTAAGAGTACAAATATTCATTCCATTGACAAACTATCTCATTTACCTACTCAAATTAAGGGTAAATACACCTAATTTAAGAAATGTGTACTTAATTCTAGAAGTAGAAGTGAAGAATAACCGAATAAATCACCATCAGTCAGGATGTTTAAACCAGGGTGTCTTCAGGAATCATAAAACAGAGATTTTTAAAATATTTCTTAGGAAAACAGATAATATTCTGAAACTTACAAACTGCTTTCCGCAGAAACATAGAAATATAACATACAAAAACATGAAGTATTTGTGTTTTTTTAGCATTAAGTCCCAACTTGTACCTTGAACGCTGCAAAAAGTGTCCATCTGACCGAGACTTCTTGTTTGGCAAACGTATATCATGATCTGCCGAGTGCAACTGTTTGATTATTGCATTTATTTTAATAAAAGAAGCTTAACAATCTAACAGAAGTGTCCGATCTAAGCTTGTAGAAGTCAGTCAGGTGGACGGCCGCCGCAGTGAAAGCCTCCATGTTCTCTGAGCCCAGTTTCTAATTCCAGGTTGTTAAAGAGCTGTTAGTTCATTTTAAGCCTGTCAGTCTTTAAAAGAAGTTCAGCTTTAAATATCAACAATTCCAGCCAAATTATCTACAGCCTTTTATTATTACTTTCAGTATTTAAAGTATTTTGACTCTGTGACTCTTTCTGCTGATGAGCTTCCAGAACAAGGTTTTCCATTTTTTTCCACCACAATAAAACTCAAAGATTTCTTTACCTCTAACTGTGTGTGAGAACCAAACAGGAACGCAGAGCTGGAAACCTTCCAAAACGACCAAGAAGATTCTCAGTGATCCAGAAGGACGGTGCGAATTCTTTAAGGCCCGAATGAAAAGTTCTGCTTTCACACAGACACCACCACAGACTTCCACTGGGTATGACTGAATGAGGGGGGCATGTAGCAATAGAACCAGAAATAGAGCAACACACACAGCGAAGTCCACAACGGCTGGCAGGACACTCTATAAATATCTGCAGGCACAGGGTGGAGGAAGGGGATACAACCCTGTTTGGACAACTGGGTGATATGGATCCACAGGAAAACAGGCGATAGGCTGATAAAGTGTTTATTACTGCCGATTGTTTGCATCAATTATTTATACATTTTTAACCAAAACGAAGAATATGATCAAACTTCTAATCCTCCCTGGATGAACTTTAGTGACAGAACCTCCTAAAAGCGTTCTGATGTTATGGAAGGTGACAGATCCAAGCTGGAGAACTGCCTGCACAGAAAACTCCCCCGTGCCTTCAAAGCTTGCACAGAGGGGAGATAATGGAGACCCTGTGGGAGCCAAGCATCACACAGCTGCACATGTGCAGATCTGCAGAGCATCAGCTGTCTGCTGTGACTGACAGCTACAGCTGAAGGAGGGAGGGGTGAGGAGGGGGAGGAGCCTGCTGGTTTCTGGGAGGAGACAAAGCAGGCAGTAAAAGAATATATATACAATATATATAACTATAGTTAGCTTTATCAAACATCTTCCATGTTCTGTGTCACTGGTCCTGTTCATATGGACCAGATTCTAGGCAAAGCAAAGGGCCTCAGTGGTCTGGTTTGGGGAGCAGGAGGTCATTTCCTTGGTTATTGTGGAGGATGTTCTGCTGACTCCCTCATGCCAGCAGCCAGGGTGAAGATCAGCACACCAAGGCCATGGTGTTAGATCAAAAAAGGTGGC